TAGACATTGTCAACATCCTTGGTGATTTCAGTTATCTAAAATTATACCTAATGTAGATATAAAATCACCCCCCACTCTGGTGAGTATGTCGGCAAATGCTGAAACACGGGATTCTTACTAGAGAGATAAGCCACGTTTCACTAACCCATAAAACCCATAAAATAAAAATAAACATGTCTGTTGTTGGCCAATATTTATATCACCTTTATGACCAAGTAGTGATTATGCATTTTTGTTTACAAATGTTTGAAAAATATCTATTTAGTAGCCATACCAGCAGCTGCGGTTGAACTCGCCTAGGTCAAAGATGGCTCTTTGACCTAGGCCAATATCCCCAGCAAGAATTTCTTTTAGACACGTAATCCTTAGCCCAGTTTTCTTCTGTTTTTTTCCTTCGTATTAGTGTACAAATTATAAATATGTGCATCTTGTATATTCCTTTATTTCTGATGGCATCTGTTTATATTTATGAATAAATAATCTATGATTATGCTTTTGTTGGGGGGGGGTTGAAGCCATACTGGTTCTTCTCACATGATTTCAATTATTTGCAGTAGTCCTACCACACCATATCTACTGAGGAAGACACCCTCAGTTTCACAATTAATATTAAAAATATATCTGCCTCATCTGTACCAAGTCTGAAATTTGGATGAGTATGATTTATATTAATTCAGTGTGTAGAGCTCCATTCTTTTAGCTCGTCATTGAAGTGTGTAACTTTATCGTACGTCCCGCCAAATCTCAGAGTTGGTACTAGTTCAGGTATAAGTACCTCCATATCATCTTTCTTTTCATAAGCTCTAATGTTAATGAACCTAATTTGATCAATATCGTGTCTGGACCTAAACTCCCTGGATCAAGGTGTCCAGATCAGCAAATTCCGAATTCTTTATGCATATTACTTCTCTCAGTTCTGGGAGCTAAAGCTGAATGTTATGAAGAAGGTCACACGATTCTTCCTCGCGTTAATTGGTTTTGATTGATGTTTAGCCATAATCGTATCGACAAGCTTGTCCATGGTCTCTCAAATTTGTTTCAAGCCTATGTTGCGGCAGTGCGTCTGTAGTTTCAAGTTTCTTGACGTTGATAAAAAGGTAGTACCATTGAAACAGCCTGTCTCGTTCATGTCTGCTCTAAAGAAGCTGTTCATGAGATGAAGGTGGTAAGCTGCTGGGGTAGCAACCGTCCCATCTGTTTATTTGGTTCTAAATTACCACGTGTGCAAGGAAGAGCCGGGGACACCATCCACTATTAGCACATGGCATTAAACGCAGGTCAGCAAGATTGTTAGACGAGAACGCTACCCGTTGCACAACACACACACACACACACACACACACACACACACACACACACACACACACACACACACACACACACACACACACACACACACACAACACACACACAACACAGAGAGAGAGAGAGAGAGAGAAAGGGGGAGGTGAACATACAATCCCGCCGCAAGAATTATAGT